GGGACGTTTGCTTTTGGGGTTAGCTTTGCTGCTCATGACGAGGATGAAAGACGCTTAGCTTTAAGGAGGGTGCAGAAGACAGTCATGTAGGGACCCAAAAAAGGTACCCTACTCGTACTTTGCACAGACTTCCGAAGCCTAAACCCTAAACCCTAGCCCTAAACCCTAAGCCCTAAACCCTAGCCCTAAACCCTAAACCCTAAGCCCTAAACCCCCTACACCCGAAGCCCTTAAAGGCATCGGCCCGCACATCGGCCGATGACCCGATCGATGGAGAAGCAGCCGCTGCAATACTGGAACCAGCAGGCCACCAGGTTTTTAGGCTTTAGGGTTTAGGGTTTAGGGGTTGGGGCTTAGGGTGTAGGGTTTGGGGTTGAGGGTTTAGGGTTTGGGGTTAGGAAGTAGGGTTTAGGGTTTAGGGTTTGGGGTTGAGGGTTTAGGGTTTTGGGTTTTGGGGTTTAGGGTTTGGAGGGTTCGGGGTTCAGGAATCAGCAGGCCACCACCAGGTCGGGTGGGGGAGTTACAACGTGGGTCAGAATGTTTCTGCCTCCTGATGTAGAGATTCGTTCCTCCTGCGTTAAGAACCTGGCAGAAATCTCTGAGCTGTCACATATACCGTACCCACCACAGCGCCTGACCGGCGGTAACATTGAAGGAAGCTCGCAAAATCCTCCGAAGGGACCAAGCAAAAAGCTGAAGCACTCTGCACAGGCAGAGATCTGAAGGTGTCGGGTTCAGGGTTTAGGGTTTTAAGCTTTGGCTTTCTAAAAAGTTTGGTAGCCCAGTGGTACCCTATACCATTTTTTTGGGTTCAAGTTTCCCTTGCAACGTGACCAGCCCCAAAAAGGGTACCCTTATGATAACATGGTTACTGGGCTACCAAGCGATGGGGCCTCCTCAAACAGAACGAACCATCAGACCCTGGAGCGAGGGTGCAGTTTGGATTTGGCGTTTGGTGCTAGCTTTGTTGAGCTCTTGCTAAGGAACTGACATTAGTTACCCATGGCAAGGCCATGTTATATTCTATGTAGTAGCCCTCTTGTTGAGACCCTAAACCCTAAACCCTAAAACCCTAAACCCTAAACCCTAAACCGAGTTGTGCTTCATCAGTTTCCGGGCTTTTTGAGCTGGCCAGGACTGGAGCCCAGCTTGAGAATTTAGGAGTTCAGGGCCTCCTCTGCGCGATCCTGTCTCTCACCCTAAACCCTAAACCCTAAACCCTATAACCCTATAACCCTATAAACCCTAGGCCCTAAACCCATTCGGCCCCGCAGATATGAAGGCCCAAAACTACGACGACAACATCTTCTCCACCATCGACGAGGACAAGACGGGCATCATCTCCCAGACCATCGAGGCGGGAGTGTGGGGTTTAGGGTTTTAGGGTTAGGGTTTTAGGGTCTAGGGTCTCGGGTTTAGGGGTGTAGGGTTTAGGGTTTAGGGTTTAGGGTTCGGGGGTGTATGGTTTAGGGTTTAGGGCTTCTAGGACCCGGAGTGGGCACTTCTTCCCCTTTTCTTTAGGGCTTAGGTTCCCTTTTAAGGCCTTTCAACCAAAAAGGGCACCCTGTTTTTTTTCCAGCGTACTCTTGGGTCTGGGTTTCGGAGTACGATACTTCAATACTTTTTTTGGGTTCTGGGTTCCTACTATATAGTATAGCTACTTCTACCTAAGAAGTATATACTACTTTCCAGGTTCTAAAGCAAAGTACGGTTTTGGGTTTCCCCGATGAAGGGCTTGGCGTCTAAAGCTCTTCAGCCTGACGAGTTTGTGGGGGCATCCTGGGGGTTCATCTTCTAGGGGGGGGGGGGGGGGGGGGGGCCCGAAACCCTAAGCCCTAAACGGTTTAGGGTTTGGGGCAAGGGACTAAAGGAGGGACCCCTTTTCAGCGACCTTAGGGGGAATTTGGGGGTTGTCTGGGTACTTGGGTAAAAAGGGACTCTATCAGGTATGTTTAGGGTCTAGAAAAGGGGAGTAAGGTTAAGGGTCCCTTCTAGGGGTCCCTCGTCCATGTGGGTAGTTCTCAAAATCAGGACCCCCTTTTGGGTCCCCTATAGCACCCTCATGACAAGGACCTTCAAAGGGGGGCCCTATTTGAAAGAACTACTTAAATATCTCAACTTATAAGTGGTGAGCCGTTCCTTGTCGGATTGACGGAAAGGCTCAGGGGCTTCCAAGGTTTTGTCCTTTTTTCTTGTTCTAGATTTTAGGGTTCAGGCTTTAGTGGTTCTAGTGTTTGGGTGGCGTTGGATGTCATGATTTCGAGTTTATGGTTTAGGTTTGATGCTTTGCGGGGCCCTACGGAGCATCGTCTATGCAGCTTGTCCAAGAGTGGTTGCACATGACACACACAGAGATATGCAACACTGCTTCACAACCGAAAGCTCTAAAATCGCAATGCTCCAAGACACCTCCAAAGTAGGACATGATGGGTATACTTAGAGGACTGTAGTTTGGGATGTTCCCTTTATACTAACAGTCCCTAGTAGGGACTATAATAGGGAGTACCATACTCCCTATTAGTACAAGGGGGAACATCCCAAACTGTAGTAGAATGGGGGCCTTTGTTGAGGAAGGTTAGAAAACCTCTGTGCAGAGACTCCAATACCCCTTAATTAAGGAATTTTCCTTGAAGTATACTAGGGTTCCTTATAAGGCTCAAAGGAATATTCCCTAGCTAAGGGGTATTGGAGTCCCTGGGTAACCCTAAATCCTAAACCCTAAGCCCTAAGCCTAGACCAATTTTGGAGAACCAGGACTGCGCCCGGCGTTTGGAGGGAAAGGAGGGCAACGAGGGCCGCTGTATAGATCTCGGCTGCGGCGCCGGGAAGCACCGAGGATGCAGAGGTGTTTGGTTTTGGGGGTTGGGGTTTAGGGTTTAGGGTTTAGGGCTTAGGGCTTGGGGCTTGGGGTTTAGGGTTTAGGGTTGGTTGGTTTCAGGGTTTCGGGTTTAGTGGTTGGGGTGCCATAGGATCCCCTGAGGTTTGGTTGGATGCGAAGGACACGGTAGAGAATAAAGACAAGACCTGGGCGCCCAAGAGATAGGGGGTTTCAGGTTATGTCTGCCTAAAACCTTGCTTGTCGATACCAGGTTTTTACGAAAGGGCCACAAACCCTGCTTGTGTTCCTCGCAAAGTATGGGGGGGGGGGGGGCTTAGCGCTTAGTAGAGCGTTAATGCTTGCAGAGTAGGATAGTTCTATAGAACACAACGGGGAAGCGAGCGAACGGGCTTAGATGTAGGGCAGGCTGGAGTTTTGGTCTTGGAAGCCTGGCTAAGGTACCTGCACAAGCTTGCCAAGCATTTCCAGCAGGCCGGGCGACCCACGCCTAAACCCTAAACCCTAAAGGGGGGGGGGGCTTGGCGGCTTGTGGATAGGGATGTTTAGGGTTCAGGGTTCAGGGCTTGATCTGGTACTGAAGCATGTCCCTCACGACTGACTGCCTTTCCCAGGCCGTGCATGTGCATGACTGGCAGCCTTCGCGATTACACAAAGGCGAAGCCCCAAACCATACCTAGACTCGCCAAGTACATTTAGATACCCTAAACACCCCCCCATGAAAGCACTCTTAGGCCCTGGGGTATTTGGTGTATTTGGAAAACCCTAAGGTCGAGGCCCTTCGTCACAGAGGCTCCCCCCGAACGGGTGCCCCGCACGTTATTCCCTGGCACTTGAGTCCTTAGACTCGAAGAGGGGTGGCAGGGGGGAGGGGGGGGGGGGTCGGGGAGGGGGGCAGGCAAACTCAGGGACCCCTAACCCCCAAATAGCAGGATTCCCTTTCAATAAGGACCCAATAAGGTACCCCCCATGTTCAGAAACCCCCTTTCGCGGCAGGTGGTCGCCTACGACCTGAGCCCCAAGCTGGTGGCCTTAGCACAGAAGGAGGCTCTGAAGCAGGGCTTGTGTTTGGGGTTTCGGATTGTTGGGGTTTAGTGTTTGGGCTTTCGGATTTATGAAAAGGGTTTCTGGTGCTTTATAGGGCTTCGCGGTTGGGGTAGTGAGTGCATATTGTGTATATTGTATATCTGTTTATCTACATATACACGAATACAGATGTTTCAAGTATGGTTAAACAAAAACAAATATCATGTTCATCTGTTTGTTGCTTATCTACGTATATATATATAATGTATATAATGTATATATATATATATATGGAGATGTATGGGTTTCAAGCCCTAAGCCCTACGTAGACTTTGAGCCCAAATCGTATGTGGCTTGAGGGGTCGAGCATTCTTCGGGCGCGACGGGCTGCTTTGAGGGGCTGGTGAGGGTTCCTGAGTCCCCGAGCTGGGAAGCCCCGAGCCCCGAAACTTCAGGATTTTCTGCTTAGCCTGGCAAAGGCTTTGGAGGGTTGTAACAGTTAGGGTCAAAAACCCGAAGCCCTATACCCCTAACCCCTAAGTCCCAGTCACTTGCCGGTGCTACCAGGTGAAGACACTTCGCATTTCCAATGTGCAGGCCATCCAGCTGCGGTCAAGCTGGGGTTTAGGGTTGAGGGTTTAGGGTGTAGGGTTTAGGGTTTAGGGTTTAGGGTGGGGGGGGGGGGGGGGGGGGGGGGGGGGGGGGCGCGATTCCTGTGAGGCTCTGATCCCTAAATAAGCCATCGAAAGCTGCTTTTTTTTTGGCGACTCAGGGGTGTGGGTTTTTGAGGGTTTTTGAGGGTTTTTGAGGGTTTTTGAGGGTTTTTGAGATAAGCTTAAGGCAAGGTATGTATAGGGTTGTGGGCTGGATGCGGAGTGGTACTCTAGCATTTCCACATCTAGGGTGCCTTGTTGCTGTTGGCTGAGTAAGTATGGTCCCCTTCGGGGATTCTTTTTTATACGCCTGAATTGCGAGTTCAGTTTTAGGGCACAGAAAAACCCTAAACCCTAACCCTAAACCCTAAACCCTAAACCCTACAAGTATATGGAGCTGCCCCAATGCTCAGGTCTCCGTCCGGGATTTGTCCCAGGTTTGGTATCGCCTCGAGCCGCCCGGGCAGTTTGGCCACCTTTCCGAGATGGAGTCGTACAACTTCGCAGTTCTCGCCAACGTCACCTTGCTCATGTTTCTCGGGGAAATCGGGAGTTCGGGCCCTTACATAATCCCTTCAAGGTCACAGGGGGGGGGGGGGGGGGGGGGGAACGAGGTACCTAATTCCCGAATTCTAAGAGGGAACCCCTGAAATGGAGCCATCCCATACCTTCTGGCGGACGACATCACGCTTACATTGCCGAGACACTAGATTTTAGGTCGTCCTGGAACAGTTGGATTCCCGTATGAAAAAAAACCATGAGACTGTCGCCTCGGATCTTAGAAGAACCACCCACCCCCCAATACGACGCAAGCTGGCAAGTGCACACGAGCCTGAGGTGCTCATCGCGCCTGGCGACCCAACCCTGCACCAGCGGATGCTGCTCAACGCCTACCGCTCCGTGTCCCCCGGGGGCCGCGTGCTGTGCATCGTGCCGGCTTGGGAGAGCGCCATGTATGTCAACATGCGCTGCGACGAGGATCCTCAGATGTTCAGGGTGCACAGTCTTTTTCGAATTGGCCACTTATCTATAAGGAAGGAAATACCGGCAATACCTATACAATGATTATGCCCTCATAGTCAATAGTATAATCGTCACTGGGGGTGGGGTCGCGTGTACGCCCAGTGTATGCCCCAAAACCCCCTAAACCCTACATCTCCTAAGCCCCTTAAAACCGCAAACCCTAACTGGACCCCCCTACCCGTAGTCACCCCTGTGCGGCGAAAAGATCGGAATATTCGCTAACCTACATGGGAAGATCTGTTTAGTTCTGAGGGTTCGAAGTCAACCCTATAGGGCTGTGTGTGCGCGCAGTCCCGTTGTTTTTCACCGAGGTTTCGTGAAACAGGGGTACCCTTTGTGGTTGCTTGATCTGTGGGGGGGTGAACATGAACAAGAGATCCCTGTTACAGGACATGCCCAGATAGCTACTCTTCTCACTCTACCCTACTAAACCTAAGCCCCAAAACTCTTAGACCTAGAAACCCTAGGCCCCCAAAAGCCCTAAGTGCTAAAACCCCAAGGCCCCCCAACCCTCAAAGCCCTAAAGCCTAAACAGCCCCCTGAAGCCCTAAAACCCATAAAGCCCTACCGGCCTCTAGAGGCGCCCTGCTCTCTTCCCAGGGATACTCCTTAGTTACGGAAGATTATCGTTAAAACATCTAAGAGGGTTCCTTTTATTTTGGTTTAAGGAATATTCCTTAGCTAAGTGGTATTGGAGTTTCTGGGTTGAAGCCCTAACACCCTTAAATCCTAAAACCCCCTAAATCCCACAGGCCTCTAATTAAAGCCCTCTGCTCTCTTCCCAGGGACTCCAACCCTAAACCCTAAACCCTAAATCCTCAGAACTATCCAGATCTTCCCATAAAGGCCCCCTGCTCTCCTGAACCCTAAACCCTAAACCCTAAACCCTAAACCCTAAACCCTAAACCCTAAACCCTAAACCCCTGCTCTCTTGAAGGAGAAGTACGAAGGCCCCTACACCGTGGGCACCGGTGGCGCGAAGCCGACCCGAACTGAGGGAGCGGACCTCTTGAAGGGCATCCTCCGGAGGTCCTCTTGGGGTTTAGGGTTTAGGGTTTAGGGTTTAGGGTTTAGGGTTTAGGGTTTAGGGTTTAGGGTTTAGGGTTTAGGGTTTAGGGTTTAGGGTTCAGGGTTTTTGCATTTTTTCTTGAAGGGTTCGGGGTTTAGAAGGTTTACTGGGGTCGGTTTGGAACATTTTGTCACCATAGACATAGAACCTAGCAACTTCAATGTTTTCAGGGCTCCCATATCCACCCCTAAACCCTAAACCCTAAACCCCAAACCCCCCCAGGTCTGGCGTCCGAACAAAGCACTACCTGGAGCCAGAGTTCCGGCACCTGGCGGCCAAGGTTGGCCTGGAGGCGCAAGGGTTTAGGGTTTGGGGTTTGGGGTATGGGGTTTAGGGTCTAGGGTTTAGGGTTTAGGGTTTAGGGTTTAGGGTTTGGGGTTTAGGGTTTAGGGTTGGGGTTTAGGGTTTAGGGTTGGGGTTTAGGGTGCAGTGAACGTCTCCCACTCCAGGCAGGTGCCGCCGCTACGTAGACACATACATGTGTTAGTATATGCATCTACGCGTCTGTACATGTCTACATCTACACACACCCACACACACACACATATATATATATATATGTGTGTATACACACACGCGCATACTCGTTCATGTATGTATGTATGTATGTATGTATGTATGTATGTATGTATGTATGTATGTATGTATGTATGTGTGTGTGTGTATGTGTGTATGTATGTATGTATGTATGTATGTATGTATGTATGTATGTATGTATGTATGTATGTATGTGTGTGCGTCAGTGTATGTACTTTACTGCAATGTATTGCAGTGTGATGCAACGTAGTTATTGTCCGGTAATGCAAGTAAGTATGTACGCATGTGAGTGTTTGTGTAGGCATACAGAGTTCGTAGAATCATTCAGCATGTGATCACACATAGACGTCTCACATGCATGTTTTATGTATACATGTGGATACACATGTATGTAATTTCTAGATGTTTATGTCTAATCTTTTTACACATTCGTATGTTTGACGTGTTTACATAAGTGTATTGCGGGATTCTTGTACCCGTCTAAACTGTATACTTATAAGTTCCAATGACCTAAATAAATTCACAGCTGTGTCTTTCTGCGTTCAGGTTTCTTGTTTAATACATTTGTGTTTTTTGCACAGGCTTAATCTCTGTATGTCTATATGTATATGTACATGTACATGCACATTTTGATGCACCTGGGTTTACATACATACATACATACACATACACATACACATATACATACGTACGTACATACATACATACATACATACATAGAAACACACACAGACATACATACATGCACATTCGGCACCACTTACATGCATGTAGTGAACGCACCCCGCCCATGACATGACATGTCACCCTGTTGTTTCATCCGTTGAAGTGGTTTTGTACACCTAAACCCTGAAGCCTGAAGCCCAAATCTCAACCGAAAGCAGCGGAAGAAGTTTAGTGTCCCCCCACAGGTGGAGGCGTGCGAGCGCGTGGAGTACAACTGGAGATCGGAGCTGGGGTTGTCTTCGGACTGCCAGGTCCGCTAGGGGCTCCCGAACCATGATGCATGGCTATCCCTGGAGCCGAAAACTAGTTGCCCTAGCCCTAAATGACCCTGAACCGTCAGCCCTAAACCCTAAACCCTAAACCCTAAACCCTAAACCCTAAACCCTAAGCCCTAAACCCTACAAAACCCTAAGCCCTAAGCCCTAAACCCTACACCCTAAACCCTAAACCCTAAAACCCTAAGCCCTAAACCCTAAACCCTGTACCCCTCCCCAGGTGCCCCCGAGGCTTCGGGACTCGCCACTGCCCTGGGACACTTTGCTCCACCAGCAGCCACGGGAGTGGTTTAGAGGGTCAGGGTTTGGGGTTTAGGGTTTAGGGTTTAGGGTTTAGGGTTTAGGGTTTAGGGTTTAGGGTTTAGGGTTTAGGGTTTAGGGTTTAGGGTTTAAAGGTTAAGGGTTTTTTTGGGGGTTTAGGGTTGTTTAGGGACGTGTAGCCTAAGTTGTGATACTTCCAACCCAAATATGGGGGAGGGCCTTCAACAGCAATATTTCTTGCGCTCTCCCCCCTTGACAGTTCATCCCGGTCTTCCTAAACCCTAAACCCTAAACCCTAAACCCTATAAACCCTAAACCCTCCACCCTACACCCTAAACTCTAAAAAGCCCCGCCGCCCAGGACTGGCTCTTCCTCCTGCAGCGGCCGGGCTGCCAGGAGAAGAACAAGGCCTCACGATCCAACAAACCCTAAACCCTAAACCCTAAACCCTAAGCCCTCAACCCTAAACCCTAAACCCTATACCCTATACCCTATACCCTATACCCTAAACCCTAAACCCCAAACCCTAAACCCTAAACCCTACCCTAGGACCTTAGGGTGCTTAGGGCTTGCAGCTTACGGGGGGTTTAGGAAGTTCAGGGGTTCAGGGCCCAGGGTTTAGGACTCGCATCCCCGCGGACCTGGGGATCCCTCGTTCCTGAGCCCCCAAAAGGCCCACAAGAGCGAAACCCTAAAACCTCAACCTTCAACCCTGAACCCTAAGCCCTAAACCCTAAAACCTGAGCCCTAAACCCTAAACTCTAAACCCTAAACCCTAAACCCCAAACCCTAAACCCTAAACCCTAAACCCCAAACCCTAAACCCTAAACCCTAAACGCTAAACCGAACCGGCTGGAGAGTCTACAAGAGCCCCAGCAAGCCGAAGTAAGTGGCCTTAATAACCCTAATGCCTCTACCATATGAGGCAAGTCCTGGTATGACCTAAGGCCGAAGCCCTAAACCTCCCAAACCCGAAACCCCCAACCCTCAACCCTCAACCCTAAACCCTAAACCCTAAACCCTAAACCCTAAACCCTAAACCCTAAACCCTAAACCCTAAACCCTAAACCCTAAACCCTAAACCCTAAACCCTAAACCCCAAACCCCAAACCCCAAACCCCAAACCCCAAACCCCAAACCCCAAACCCCAAACCCTACCTAGACCACCCACCTCCTAAGAGCCCCAGATGCCAGAAGCCCCAAGATCGGAAGGAGGACCCAACCCTCAACCCTCGACCTTAAACCCTAAACCCTGAACCCTAAACCCTCGACCTTAAACCCTAAACTCTAAACCCAACCCCGAAGAGCCCCAAATCCTCAACCCCAGCCCCGAAGAGCCCTAAACCGATAGACCCAACCCCTAAAAGCCCCGAACCCTAGACCATAAGCCCTAAACCCTGAACCCTAAACCTCTAAACCCTAGGCGCCTAAACCCCAAACCCCAAACCCCAAACCCTAAACCCCAAACCCTAACCCTAAACCCCAAACCCTAAACCCCAAACCCTAAACCCCCCGAGGAGGAGGGAAAGCAGCGACAGGGCTCGAACCCGGCCCTGGCTACGTCCGACTCGGAGACGCGCCTCCCAACTCTGTTCCAGCCCAAGGTCCCTTCGTTTGGGGTTTAGGGTTTAGGGCTTAGGGCTTGGGATCGTTAGGTGGGTCGTTAGGGTTCGGGGTTTGGGGTTTGGGGTTCTGGGGTTCGAGGGATTTTGGGGTTCATAGGGTTTTGAGTTTCAGGGTGTCAGGGCTTAGCATTCAGCAGTTTCCATCTTTAATCCCAGCCGCAAGTTCCCCCTACTGTCGAGGCACCACCATCGCGCGGCGCTGATGCTTCACAGGAGCTTTCCAACAAGCCCTCAGACAGCCAGAAGTCGCTGTTCACGCTCATACATGGCTCCAGCTCTGTTTCACAGTGCGACCTCTGATTTAAGAGCAGGGTTCAGGGGGTTCAGGGGGTTATGGGTTTAGAGGTGTTGGGTTTTTAGAGTTTAGGGTTAGGGTTTCGGGCTTAGGTTACGGTTTAAGGTTTAGGGTTCAGGGCGCGGCAATCACGCCGTCCGGCACATGTGCTCACCTGGGAATCAGGTGCTGTCGTCTCACCGGCTAGCGGCTAGCTGTGCAAAGAAGTAGCTTTCAATATCAATGTCGCGCTTCTTTTGGGGTCCGCATATGTCATGCCAGCATGGTCTCCAAAATGTCATCTTCCATCTCGACCCTAAACCCTAAACCCTAAACCCTAAACCCTGCGAAACCCCAGGGAGCCCCCGATATTGACAGCGACGGCAAAAGCACCAAAGATTGGTCGACGGAATCTGCAGCCCTTTAGTGGCCTCTTGGAGAGCCTTCTCGGGAAAAAAAAACCGTTTTGGGGTTGCAGTTTTTGTTATTTAGGGTTCTTTAGGGTGTTAGGGTTTGAGGGTTTTAAGTTTTAAGGGTTATTTAGGGTTATTTAGGGTTATTTCGGGTTATTTAGGGTTATTTAGGGTTATTTAGGGAGAGCCTCCTCGGAGAAAGTCGCAGGGGGTTTAGGGTTTTAGGGTTGCTCACCCTGGGGTTTTGGGGTTGTAGATTTTGGGGTTTTATTGGGCGGTGGAGGGTTAAGGTTTTTTGTCGGGGCAAACAAGGGTTCTGATGTAAGATCATCGAGCTTTTCTTGGCTAGCCGTATCCCCAAGCCCTCAAAAGCCTCAATGGGCTTACGGTTTAGGGTCTATAGGTCTTAGCTATCAAACCCCCCAACCCTAGAAACCGCAAACCCTGAAATCCTATGACCCGCCAAGGCCCCCCCCCCCCCCCGCTCCGCACCCCGCCCCCCGAACTCTGAACACTTGAAGTCCCCCAAACCCTAGACCCTAAACCTACCTTAAACCCCAAACCCCCAAACCATAAACCTCAAACCCCAAACCCTAAACCCTACCAACGTCGTCAACTCCAGACCCTCAAACTCTGAAAGGAGGTTGTTAATAATATACCCTACTACGAGTATTCCCTAGTCGGGCATATGAACCATAAGCCCTTCAGTTTCAGGGTTCATTTGGTCCACAAGGTAGGGCTTCGGGCTTTGGGGGCAGATTGAGGGGTTGGGGGGGTTTAGGGCTTAGGGGTTTGCTAAGCGGCTCAGCCCTTCAAACCCTTCAGGGGTCTTCAGAATAGCGCAGACACCCCCCAAACAGAAAAAAAAGAGCCTGTGCGTAACCTGAGCGTTCAGGAAACCCCCTAAGCGCTTAAACCCGAAAAACCCTATTTTTGTGGCAGCTTCGGGGGGGCCTCAAAGCTCCTAAATGGTAAGAATTGGGGCGATAAAGGAACCCCGAAACAGCCCTTAAGCTTGGGAAGATTATGGTTTAGGGTTTAGGGTTTAGGGTTTGGGGTTTAGGGTTTAGGGTTTGGGGTTTAGGGTTTAGGGTTTAGGGACCCCTGTATGGTTGCAGGTACATGTTTCAACTAAGGGGTATTCGGCTCTCTGGGTGTGGAGGGCCAACGGCTGGAAGCTGAATCCCGAAACCCGTAAGCCCCAAATCCCTAAACCCAAACCCCTAAACCCTAAACCCTAAACCCTAAACCCTAAACCCTAAACCCTAAACATAGGCCTCTTAAACCCCAAGCCCTTAAACACCCTGAACAGGAATGGACCTGGCTGCGGTGAGGCCCATTGCGGAGGGGCAGATGCAGAACGAGGCTGGGGGTTTTGCGATCAAAGGGTTCAGAGTTTAGGGGTTCAGAGTTCAGGGGGCTTGGCGTGTAGGGGCTTGGTGGTTTAGGGTCTTGAGGGTTTGGGGGGTTCAGAGGTTTAGGCGGTTGGGGGGTTAGCGGTTTAGGGTTTGGGTTTCAGGTGTTCAGTTGTGCTGCAGCGTAAGACTCCTAGACCCCAAAAGAAGAAGGTAAGTCATGGGCCTAATACCCCTAAACCCTAACCCCAAAAAGTTGTGAAGCATGGGCCCTTGGTATGTATAGTCTAAGGAATATAAGGAGTATATAAGGGTTCCCCATTCACGGGCCCATATTAAGGCATCACGTAAACTGCCCGGAGGCTTTTGGAGGCACATAGTTCCCCTGCAAGCCTCATTAAGCACTATCTGTAAATCTTAGATTGCTGGGGACCCAAAGATACCAATATCCCTTAACCCAGGAGTATACCTTAAATCATACTCAGGATCCCTATATAGGTTAAGTTAAATATGGGGTTGAGACAAGCGCCAGACTGCAGAACGTCAATAGGCCGTGTGGTTTAGCTATAGGGTCCTGAAGGGAGGGCGCTTTAGGGGGGTGGGGGGGGGGGGGGGGGCTTAGGTACCTAGGGAACCTTTGGTTACCGCAACCCTAAACCCTGAGTCCTGAACCCTGAACCCCAAACCCCAAACCCTAAACCCTAAACCCTAAACCCTAAACCCTAAACTCTGAGGACCTAGAATTTAGGACCTTTTTTCGCCTGCCGAGGTGGCCGCCCACGACTTGCAGACCGGCCTTCAAGGTGCCAATGCTAGGGTTTAGGGTTTAGGGTTTAGGGTTTAGGGTTTAGGGTTTAGGGTTTAGGGTTTAGGGTTTAGGGTTTAGGGTTTAGGGTTCAGGGCTTTGAAGGCTTGTTCGAGCTATTGTTTCATGTAGCACCCATTCCTTACATCCGGAGTGCATGCACCTTCTTTGTGGAGCATGCACGCCCAAACCGTGGGTGTGGCTAAGGCGAAACCCCAAGCCCTTGTCCCTGAGCTTGTAACCCCTGAGCCCCTGCACCTTAAATCCTAAGCCCCTAACCTTTGTCATAGTGGGATAACATTTTACATTGTTAAGGGCACTTAAACTCAATAAGAATAAAATCTTAAACCCTAAACCCTAAACCCTAAACCCTAAAATTACTATCCCAACTATGAACCAGTAACCTCTCCAACAAAGCTTGAGAGCCTTTTGCGCGGCGCACCGTGCTGCGGTAGCGCAGAAGATGCTTTAAGAGCGAAGGGTTTTGGGGTTTTAGGGTTTGGAGTTTAAGGTTTAGGAGTTTAGGGTTTAGGAGTTTAGGAGTTAAGGAGTTTAGGACTTTAGGAGTTGAGGAGTTGAGGAGTTTAGAGCTGTTGTGGCTTTAAAGGGCTTTTGGTCTCAGGGCTCGGTGCATCGCTGCGTCAAGAGATTTTCAGGAGGTGAGCTTTAGGGGCCTCCGGTTTTGCGATGCCCTACTTGAAGGTCGTGTTCTAAGAGCCTTAAACCCCAAACCCCAAATCCTGAACCCCAAACCCTAAACCCTAAACCCCAAACCCTAAACCCCAAACCCCAAACCCCAAACCCTAAACCCTAAACCCTAAACCCCAAACCCTAAACCCCAAACCCTAGACCCCAAACCCCAAACCCTAAACCCAAAGCCCTTGGCGGGATCCTTTCGCACTGGCTCCGCCGATCCAAGCTACTCCTGTAGAGCCGAACTCCGGACAGACATCCCAAACCCTGAGCCCGAAGCACTTTATAGGGTTCTTAAGGGCTTAAGGGTTCAGGGTTCAGGGTTTAGGGTTTAGGGTTTAGGGTTTAGGGTTCAGGGTTTAGGGTTTAGGGGGGTTCAAGGGGGATTCTAGGGTCCTAAGGGAGGGTTTAGGGTTTAGGGTCTAGGGAAACCCCAAGGTTCTGTAATTTTTCCCCCCACTACTCCCTAAGGCTCCCTAAGCTTCCCCAAGGTTCCCTAGGCACCGACCCCGCATGAACCTCCCCTCCCTTAAGAACCCCATAAGTACTAAGTACTAAGTAAACCCTATAAGCCCTAAGGGCCTTGATGCCAAGCCCTAATCCCTTAGCCGCTAAACCCCAACGCCTAAATCTTGCGTCTTCAACGCCCTCAAATCCTTAGCGAACGGAGCCACGCCCAGCGCGAAGCCGAACCCGGGGCTTCTGCGCCAACGATCCATCTTTTGGGTACGGGGTTCAGGGTTCCTATGAATTAAGGTATATCCCTTCCCCTAAACCCTATATAAACCCTAAACACTAATCCCTAATGTTAGGGTCCCTTTAATAACCCCCCCCCCCAATCTTGTTTTGGTCCCCGGGGTTTGTAGGGGTGGAAAAAAACGAGGGGGCGTCAACAATGCGGATTCTGGGGGTCTGGGGGGGGTCAGCTGTCAGGGTCTGCTTTGCTTTGTCTTGGAGCTCTTTCAAGCCAGCTCAGCTGAAAAGCCTTCTCTGCAATGGAACTCTAAAGCCATTTCAGTATAATTTTCAATTCCTGGCCGGAAAAATTTTACAATTACCACCCCATTATTATTATCACCGGACCCCCCTATATAGACTTGTTTACATACATCGGCCCGAAACCCTCCCGTAATGGAAAGTAGTCTTCGGCTAGGGCCCTCTGGCCCGGCGAATATTACTATTACCACCCCATTTCTACCCAAAGAGCCCAATATTGCTTAATTAAGGAATATTCCTTAAATCATATTAAGGACCCCTTTATGATTTAAGGTATATTGCTTAATTAAGCAATATTGGGCTCTTTGGGTAAATGGGATGTTAACATTAGACCCTAAACCCCGAAGGCCTTACTTCGGTTTTGGGGCTGCCAGCGTTTGTAGGGTCTAGGAAGTTTTTGGGATGCATTGGGCTCCTCTCTGTAAACCTTTAGGGTTTAGGGTTTAGGGTTTAGGGTTTAGGGTTTAGGGTTTAGGGTTTAGGGTTTAGGGTCGAGCGCCAAACCTACGGAACGTGTGGTTTAGGTTTTTGGGTTTGCTCGGGCAGCCGTGTGCCGAACAGCGCCCGAGGGACGGAACGCAGCCTCCTCCGTTCCCGGCACGCAACTGAGTGAGTGACCGGGGGCGTGCCGATCAAACGCAAAAAGCACGCGCCCCTGGACCAGAACCCCAAGCTCTAAACCCCCCAAACCCTAAACCCTAAACCCCAGAGGGTTTAGAGTTTAGGGTTTAGGGCTCAGGTTTCAGGGTTTAGGGTTTAGGGTC